AAGGAAGACCTGAGACTTGAAACCAGAACCGCTATCTGCCAGGTTAGGGTTGCAGGTGACTTCTGGTATGTATTGTGGGAGGGAGCAGGGGAGGCTTCCCAGGTGTTGCAACCTGTAGGAAGTTCTGGCTCCCTGTCTGAACTTTTCTTGAGCTCTAGAGTACACCACAATCACCTGTGTTTGTAAAAACAGACTGCTGGGCTCCACCCCCAAAGTTATTGATTCCGTAGGTCTGGCATGAGGCCCAAGAATTTGCATTTCTAAAAAGATCCCAGGTGATCTTGCTGCTGCTAGTGGGGTGACCATACTCTGAGAACCACTGCTCTAAAGTATATGGGGGCTGGGGGTCGTGGAGTGTGGGGACCATGGCCAAGATCCCTAGGGGCTATAAGAGTAGATTCCTAAATCTAGGTAACAATGAGACAAACTCTAGCTAGCACTCTGAAAAAGGGAAGGGTCTCAAAGTCCCAGAATCTAGCCTACTAGCTTCTCAGCCAGGGAAACTGAGTTGAGTGAACATAAAGGGTTTGACCAAAGTCAAAAGGAGACCCATGGACCAGACTCCAGGACTCCTGAGCTCCAAACCTTTCTTGTCCTGGGAAAGGAATTCAGGGAAGGGGACAGCAAGCTCAGCTTTTCCCATACTCTGCTGCCTTGGGCAGGGAAACATTTTAAGAATTGCAGAAATCTGCTGTTGGCCTCCAATCCTATCACCCATCCACCCTCCTTCCTTTCACACTCCCAGCTCCCTCCCTTTACACTCCAAATCCTGTGCACTTTATCCTGGCAAACCAGGCAGCAGAGGGGGAGGTGAAGTTATAGGGAAAAATAACTGTAAGTGAAGGAAGAATTCTTGCACTTGAATATACTTCTTCCAGGACAACTACTTCCTCCTATAAGTCTCAGTTTCTATCCTTGTATCCAGTCTTACCCCAATCTACCTACATTTCAGTTCCAGCACCTGAAACCCACACAGCCAGGTTTCCAAACCACCTTTTCACCCAGTTTTTCTAAAATAGAGAGGCTCTGGACAAAATTTTCTATCCTCTTCCAGTTGGCAGCAAAATGTCACTTCTCTTGCAAAACCTACATGCACAGTCTCACTAATAGACAATCAGCTATATGTACATAAAAACAAATATACCAGAATTTATAAAAACACACAGACATCAAGAGATACATTATTCACTGTTCACTGGTAAAACACACCTAGCACCCAAATGCCTATGAAATAGACAGAACACACACATGCACACAGACTAGAGACCTAGAAATGCATGCACCGCATCAATAAATGGGGAAAGAGGTACTTACACACCCAGAGACCCTTCTCAAAGGAGAGGTCTCCTGAGGGGTAATTCCTGGGGAAGGGGGGTGCGCTGGTCCTTTAAGAGAGTGGCTCCCCTCCTCCTTCCAGGGCACCTAAGATGCGGCTCTTCTCTCGGGGCAGGAGTAGGGGGGACACAGTGTGGTTGACCCGGCCAGGCCCGGTCTGGCTCTGGACGACAGTCTCAGCGCCGCGACAGGAAATGGATTCCTGAACCGACTGGGACAGCAGCCTGGGGCTCGCTGTCGCTGCCACCGCCACCACCAACCCACACCCACACCCCACACCGGGCTTCGGGCAGGGCACGCCCTCCGCTCCAGCCCAACCGGGTCCGCGGGCTCGGCTGTCAGCCCGGCTCCTTCGTCCCCCGGGGTGTGGCCGCCCACCTGCCAGCCGGGCGTCTCCGCCCGGGGGGAGGGCGCTCCCGCCGCCGCCGCCGCCCACTGCCCCGGCCAGGTGCCGGCTCCCGCGACCGCAGCGCCTCGGCCGCCGCCCCCACCCCTTCCTCCTGGCGGTGCGGAGACAAAGCCGCGCACACGCACACGGGGCTGCGCGGGGCTACGCGGCGCACACACACGCACACGGGGGCTGCGCGGGGCTACGCGGCGCACACCCGCCCTCGCACGCGCACACCCGGGGATCACACTGGCGCTCACACGGCGACAGACACACTCACACACACACACACGCACACGCCACAGGCTCCCGCCACTAGCAAAGCCCCCGGCACACACCCTCATCCAGATGTCTACACGCTCAGCTTCACATTCGGACACACCCTCTCACGGACACACTCAGACACACGCACGCACACACCCGCACCCAGCCCAGGGGCGCACACACAGAGGCACGCGCGCGCGCGCACGCCGAGCATCCACTTGCACTGACCCACGGACACACGCGCGCGCTCACACCCAACACACACCCGGCGACGTGGAGCCCAATACACATACCGGAGCCAGAATCTAGTCGAACGAACCGAAGCCGGGCTTCTGCCTCGGGCGCCCGCCCCCTGCCCGGGGGTGTCCAGAACCCGGAGCCCGCCCGCCAGAGCCCGGAGCCCTCCGTGATCCCCTCCAACACACACACACACACACGCGCACGCACACACGCACGCACACGCGCACACACACACACACACGCACACACACGAGCTGGAGGAGGGCGGCGGGGACCGCTAACCTGGCGGCGGCGGCGCGGCTTCCGGGCGCTACCGGTCCTCGATCCGTGTCCCGCGGCCAGGCTCCGAGGTGCCCGAGCTGCGCAGAAATGCCCGCCCGCTCGCTCGCTCGCTCCCTCTCC